GAGAACTCTCTTATCTACAACATATCATCTTGATAATTGTACACTTCATTATCAAGGAATTTGTGATAATACGAGCATCACTAAATTTGTTATCTCAATTTCAATAGATAACGCCTGAATATGGATATAATAATCATTCAATGATGACCCTTTAACTACTTAAATCGTCAACGCCAGAGAATAATCAGGCTCGATTTTCTGCTGAAACAGATTTCATTGGGTGTAAAAGGCAACATTGTTCTAAAACATATACTGAATATCAGTGATGTCACCAGGTGTTAGTGAATAGTTCATATTTGTATATATTTGTTTGATGTTGCATGAGCTCCTCCGTCCGTTCCATCGTGTGCCAAACTGGGAGAATGTTGTCTTTTGACAATGTCACAGCCATTCATACATTTGCATATATACTTAATCACTGTTGCAAATAACTCACTTTAACGTGTTTTAATCTTCGGATGAGTCTTTGCTCCTAAACATTAGAAGAAAGAAGAATCAATGAATTTGTGATAATACGAGCATCACTAAATTTGTTATCTCAATTTCAATAGATAACGCCTGAATATGGATATAATAATCATTCAATGATGACCCTTTAACTACTTAAATCGTCAACGCCAGAGAATAATCAGGCTCGATTTTCTGCTGAAACAGATTTCATTGGGTGTAAAAGGCAACATTGTTCTAAAACATTTACTGAATATCAGTGATGTCACCAGGTGTTAGTGAATAGTTCATATTTGTATATATTTGTTTGATGTTGCATGAGCTCCTCCGTCCGTTCCATCGTGTGCCAAACTGGGAGAATGTTGTCTTTTGACAATGTCACAGCCATTCATACATTTGCATATATACTTAATCACTGTTGCAAATAACTCACTTTAACGTGTTTTAATCTTCGGATGAGTCTTTGCTCCTAAACATTAGAAGAAAGAAGAATCAATGAATTTGTGATAATACGAGCATCACTAAATTTGTTATCTCAATTTCAATAGATAACGCCTGAATATGGATATAATAATCATTCAATGATGACCCTTTAACTACTTAAATCGTCAACGCCAGAGAATAATCAGGCTCGATTTTCTGCTGAAACAGATTTCATTGGGTGTAAAAGGCAACATTGTTCTAAAACATTTACTGAATATCAGTGATGTCACCAGGTGTTAGTGAATAGTTCATATTTGTATATATTTGTTTGATGTTGCATGAGCTCCTCCGTCCGTTCCATCGTGTGCCAAACTGGGAGAATGTTGTCTTTTGACAATGTCACAGCCATTCATACATTTGCATATATACTTAATCACTGTTGCAAATAACTCACTTTAACGTGTTTTAATCTTCGGATGAGTCTTTGCTCCTAAACATTAGAAGAAAGAAGAAAGTATATAAATCGTCTCTACCCTTTACGTATGCCCTTGACATGATGAAGCAGTAGTGATAGTGATGATTGTGTTCTTTTAAGGCGTGTTCAGACCAAAACTCTTACCAAGAATAAAACAAGCGCAAATCAGTTTGACAATGTGTAACTATCTAAGGGTTTCCCAGTAAAACCGTACATCTAAAAGTAAACACGTGTGTTTTCAGACGTAAATGCTCTTAAAGTATAACACAAAGGTGTTTTCAAAGATAGACATGATCAAACGACTTGTTTTTACAGTCTGGTTGTTGTTATAAAGACTTATGACAAGCTTTAAAGTTGGACCATTTATTCCGCTGAATTTCACACTCTACAGTTACCAAATGCAATCTCCTTTGCATTGATAAATGCTTGTCACCTTTTGGTTGTAATCAAACAACAGGGATATATTAGCTATTTGTTTGTTTATTGTAATCTTCAATCCTACCAATCCAGTTCGGAATCTTCAAATTCGCGGTCTGATTGAATCAATATGTATTTTACAAATAGCGCCTACAGGGAAGGTGGTTAGTAAACACACAACTAAATATCTATATAGATACTTCTCCTATTAATTACATAAGCAGTATGCAAAATGTTAAATTGCATCCTCAAATCAAGAAGTACATTTTAATAGTTACTTTTGAATTCAATCCTTTTGTTTGTGTTATTAATAAACTGTAAAGATATGTTAATGTCGTGGAAATTCCAACTGTATGCATTCTCTTCTAACCAAAGCAGTCAGAATCTTGCAACATTTGTTTTGATGCTCTACATCACCATGGCTTTCGTTGTTTCATTGCAGCAGCTCGGATATTATTTATACAAAGCGCCATAACAACATGTAGATTGTATTCTGAACACAACTTTCGCTCATTTTCAAGGACGGCACACACATTTACATTTCAATACAGTGCACACTGTCTACCCCTTGATACCGTCAATGACTGCTTTGACAAAAATTGACACTCCTGCTTATTTGTTTCGCTGCAAGTTTTTAAAATGCAAATTGAAATACAGCCAGCCAATTTCAGATATTATGGTACTTCAAATAGCCATCAAACCCTTTCCTGGCAGCCCAAATGATAAATTCCCGTGAAACATGAACTCGGGTAAGTGACATTTTGTGGGAGATATATCAAGCATAAAATCCCTCCTCTTATCATCATGTCCGGTTTCCTCAGGAACTTAATAGCACATGTCAGTAGTTGATATCTTAGCTTGAAGTAAAACGCAATATCATTTAAGTGCTTGGATATTGGTCTACAACACGTACTATGTCCAGAGTTTACAATATGGAGAAACATAGATCACTCTTCCATTGTGAACATTCTATTATGATACAGATTCTTTATTCTCCATAGACCACCGACGGTGGTACAAGAGCATACATAAAGTACAGAGATAAATATGATATGTACATCAAGACGGCTGTGTGCATTTAGATTTAGCATTCAAAGTGTTAAAAACAAATTATACATATTTTGATAGACGTTTTAGCTCGTTTAGTTTGGTCGTTGAAAATAGGCTTCTTAATGAAAACACATTTGACCAAGTTAAATATCTTCTAGGAATAATGCAAGTCTTTTGTTATCAAAAGCTGGACATATAATGGAATTCATCTGCTATTGCTGGTGAGTTATAGAGTGAACATAGACGTTGTTCTCTGGGTACATTATTCCAACGGCCAATTGTGGTTATTAGTGCGAAATTTTAAGAGCGGGTAATAAACAGATTTAGGTAGGTAGAGATAGTTTTCAAATAATGGCATTTCTTTAAGATATTTATAATAGAAACCTTTTGAACTCGACAATATTGAACTTCTCCAGGATTGTAGAAAATGATCGGTCAATATTCTTTCCACAGAATTGACTAGCCACTTGGTGTTGAAATTACATGGCATATCATAAACTTGGGTCAGGCCACAGGAGCTTAATAGACATTCTAGATTACATAACCAAGGGTGAATATTGGAGTTTACGTCAGCATCCATCCTTATGAATTGATATATTAGAGTCGAAAACTTATTTTGTTGAGATCGTATAATATGTCTATGCCCAAAACCTATAATTCTCTTAGCTACTCTAATATTAAGGGGGGTCCTGCCTAATTCTCCATAGACCATAAAGGAAGGAGTTGATACATGTACTTTCAAACCAGCCGCTAATTTAAGGAATTTTAAATGAACTTGTTCAACCATATTCAAACATTCAAATCCCCACACTTCCGCGCCGTACAGTAAGATTGGTAACACCATAACATCAAATGCTTAAATAATACAATCGAGTGGGAGATTGATATTTCGGGCTTTCTTCAGGAGACAGTACATACATTTTGTGGCATTCTCGGTTAAAGTTTTGATGGCAAGTCCAAATTTCCTATTTTTATTGAATTTTATTCCTAAATAATCATAGAAGTCTACCGTTTCTAATTCTTTATTGTCAAAAATGAAGGGGGCGATTTTTTTCTTTGTAGTACCACTGCCAAACACAACAACTTTAGTTTTAGATATGTTAACCGTTAGTTTCCATTTTCGACAGTATAATAAGAGGGAGTTTAAAGAAGTTTGCAGAGATCCAGGATCGGTACCAAATAGAACTATGTCATCAGCGTACAGCAGTAACAGGAGCTGTACACAGAGAGTAAATGTTTCCTCTGACAGCGTTAACTTGACACCTTGACAACAGTTTTCTATCAACCACGGTTCGAGGTCGTTAAGGAATATTGAAAATAGAAGGGGAGATAAATTTTCTCCCTGGCGAACTCCAGTGTAACTTGGGAAGAAGTTAGAAGTGTGTTTGCCTATTTGAACACATGACTTAATGTCACTATACATATTTTTAACTAATGTTAAAAATGTACCCGTAATTCCAGAATTTAACAATTTTGACCAGAGACCCACCCTCCAGACATTATCAAAAGCTTTTGAAAAGTCAATGAATACACAATATAATTTTTCTTTATTATTTTTTTGAATAGTCATTAGCATATTCAAAACAAAAATATTATCAATTGTAGAAAATCCCTTACGAAATCCAGCTTGGGCTGGCGATAACATGTTATTCACATTTAAATAGTTAGTTAATCTAGTGTTTAAAATACCAGTAAATAGCTTACCAAGATAACTCAGTATTGTGATAGGTCGATAAGAAGCAGGGTCTAACGGGTCACCCTTTCTCTTGTATATAGGCTTAATAATACCAGTTGACCATGCATTATGGAGTATACCCGTGGTGAATACAAGATTGAATAGTGATGTGAGTAGGGGCAGTAACAACTCAAATGCGTCAATCAAATAACTATTATCTATCAAATCAAACCCACAGGCTTTATTTCGTTTCAAAGATCTAATTCCCTCTTTTATTTCTTCTGTTGAAATAACTTTATTCAGTACAGTAATGTCATAATAAACTGGTTCAGTATCGTCTATTAACTCATCTTCATCATCATATCTTGTAGAATTGATGTCCTTAAAATTTTTGTAAAATCTATCTACATCCATTATTAGTGTTCTCTGTCCCGTTTAATATTCAGCTTTAAAAATCTCAAACAAATTTCAAGGCGTAAATAAATATGACAAGATTTTATTCCATTGGTTTGAGAATATACATAAATAGCCAGCATCACACTGCAGGTGATAATAACTCAATAATAGCCGATACCTGAAACAAACAAATAGTAGAATAAAGTTAGGATGTATGGATAAGTCACAACGAAGTCTTGAAACTAGCTGCATGATAAACTATACCAAATATTAGAGAAAGCAGAGAATAGTTTTAAAGATGTTTTGTAAATGTCATCAGCTTTGTCGCGTAAAATAGTAATACCATATAGGTAAATTATACAATTTTGCAAACGAGACCGAAGGTATATAGTGGGATACGATTAACAAATGATATCATATTTTGTGAAATACCTTTTCCCAATCCCATTCCGTATCCTCCCATTCCGTAGAGACCACCATAGCCTCCAAATCCTCCGTACAGACCTCCCATGCCGTATCCGTATTTGCCTCCGTATAGACCTCCCATGCCTCCGTATAGACCTCCCATGCCTCCGTACAGACCTCCATAGCCTCCGTACAGACCTCCATAGCCTCCGTACAGACCTCCATAGCCTCCGTACAGACCTCCATAGCCTCCGTACAGACCTCCAAAGCCTCCGTACAATCCACCCATTCCGTAGCCAATTCCGCCCAGTCCTCCGTTCAACCCGCCAATTCCACCATACAGACCGGTAGGCTCGGCAAAGGCGGTAACAGCCAGGCAGGCAACAAGAGCGGCGACTATCTTCATCATTTTGAGTATCTATTGAGTAACGTGAAAATCATTGTCAAGAAAGGTAAATAGCATGTTATCGTTACTCATCTGGTAAATTCAGTTCACACAACTCATTGTGAATTATGTTTACTTTCACCTACATTCATATATTTCCCAATTTACAAGAACGTTTTATGTTACATATTCGTACTTTTATAAATTGGCTCAACATAAAGATTGAAAACAGCCAATTGCGCAGCAGATGAATCAAACATTAAAAGTATACATAATTATATATCACGAGCAAACCTTAAAATAGTACTTACAGTTTGGTCTTGACTCGTATCTGTGTCTCAACGGCAGGTGAAGATAAGAGATGATGGAACATACTTACTTACTTACTTACTTTGGAGATTTAACGTGCGCTTTCCGACTGATGCGTATTTCGCACACGGGCCCGGCCAGGCCATTTAATGTGTTTCCGAAAGGGGCGAAAGTGGTCTGTGCAACCCAAGAGGGGGGTTTTAGGGGTTGCTTATATAGAATTTGGGAATTTTGAGATTTGGAATAGATGCCGATGGGATTGGGGAGGAGAACTAAGGGAGCTGGGTATGGTGGATGTTTGTTTGTTTATGTGATTTTGATTTGGTAGGTTATTGTGTTTTTAGATGCGTTTTATTAGTTCCGTTTTTATTAAGAATACGCCTAAGGCCTTGAAGTTTTCTAGTTTATTTTGTGGGTTTAGTATTGCTTCTAGAGTTAGAGCCTTGTTTAGATTGAGGGTGGTTTGTAATGCGGTTCGATGTGTTAGGTAGTGTGTGCAGTGGATGAATGCGTGTTCTGGGGTTTCTGGTTGTTTGCAGTCTGGGCAGTTACCTGTAGTGTGTTTTTAAAAAAAAATTTAACTGGTTATTTAGGTTGGTGTGTCCTGTTTGGAGTTTAGTGATTACTCTGTCGATTTTTTTGGATGGATGGAGAATTTTTGGTTTGGTTAGTGGTTTGCTGAGCACTTTTTTGATTTGGCTATTTGAGTTTAGATATAGGTTATGCCATTTTTTTGTGATTTTTTGCTTGTTTACACTTTTAATTTCTGATTTTGAGATGGGTAAGTTTAAGCTTATTTCTGGGATTTTGAGGGATAGTTTAGCTGCTTTATCGGCGTTTTCATTACCGTATATTCCTACGTGGGCGGGTATCCACAAGAAGGTTATTTGTTTGCCTGCCTTAGTTAGGTCGTTGGAGCTTTTAAGTATTTGATTTATTAATTTAGGTCGGTTTTTGGTATTTTTGTTTTGGAGGGCTTGCAGTCCACTTAGGGAGTCGGTAAGTATTAGGATTTTTTTGTGTTTTTTGGATTCTTGATTATGGAGGGCTGAGGCCATGCCCATTAGTTCTGCCGTGAATATTGATTGGTTGTTTGGGAGTCGGAAGGATTGTGTGGTTTTAGTTGGTTGTGTGGTATGGACTCCGAAACCTGTGTGTTTTGAGGTCGGATCTGAGGATCCGTCCGTGTAAATGTGACACCAATTTGGCCAATTTTCGTGTATGTATGCTAGTGTGGTAGTTTTAGCTATGTTTGGGTCGGTTTGTTTATTTATTTGGCTAGCTAGTGTTGTGTCTATTTTGGGTATTTTAAGTTTAGGGGTGAAGATATCTGATTGTTTGCAGTTTTGTTTAAGATTTTTAATTTGGTGTTCATTTAGGTAGTTTGTTATTCTTTGGGATATTGGGGTAAGTAAGGGTCGTTTACGAGCTAGAGCTTGGTTTTTGGGGCTGATGTTTTGGTTTATTAAGTTTTGGATGAGATGGTTTGATTGGGACGCGGCCCAGAAATTTAACAGTTTAAATGGAACAGTTTCCCCCGTCCTTTATATATACCATTTGTGAATTATACGTGATTGAGTAACGCACCTCAGCTTAATGGTGTAAAGTAAGCATTCTTTTGGGATCAAAGGGCCCGAGGTTATCACCCTACGGGTACACATGCGAGCTGGTAAACATGAACATCGATTAAGGAAGTACAAGACACCGTATATAAAGGTGGCAAACAGACACACTCTCTCTGGCATCGTCTAACTGCATTTCAAACAGTCCTCGATACTCAACGTTTAACCTATATTAAGTAAATATTCGATTACGGTCTGAAAAGTGTGTATCCAGTAAATATATGATGTGGGAGCAACTTACATCAGACATTATAATGCATCTGTGTGATACGACATAACAAGAGACCAGAAAACTGACGCAACACACTAGTACAGCCTCGCCACAGTACAGCAGTAGCACTGTACCACACGGGGTAAACTATGCTAACCGTTTCCGTGTAATACAGCAGCCTGCTCACAAGAAAATAGCTTCTGCTGAATATACTGCAGAAGTCCCCAGATACTACATTATTCTCCTCGAATTTTATTTATCTTACTGCACAGTAACAATTAACTACATTAGCTTTATTTCCTAACTGATGTATCTATGATACTTAATACTGGCTTCCATTCTGTCAGCGCTAATTACTGTTAAGTGTTGTTAATCACATATCAGCGCCAATTATCTGTTGGCTTCCCTTGCTAGTTTCTACCCTTTGTTATTTTCCACCTTTTGTTTTTCTTATTCACCTTCTTATTAATTTTGATGTCCTTACATGTACATATATATGCTCTCTGCCTCATGGCATTCATTCACCTGATGAAGAAGTAAGCATATACTCCGAAACGTCGTGTTCCTCATAATAAAGAAGTTGACATCCATATATTCTCTTCCTTAAGTCGCACTGACGTTCAAATATTCTTGGATAAATCAACCATTTCGTGAACGCATAGCCTTTTTCAGTATTGTTCTCGGCTGTTCACGTCTCGTACTATGATAACTATTAGTACATACACCGTTGTGTCAAACAAACAGTAGTCTCGAAGTAAAAGCTTGGTCCTTCTTTATTCATCTTTTTTCGGTTGCGTCTAATTACCGTAGGTCTATTCAACTTCGATACAACGGTGTTCGACTTATACTACTACAGATAACAGATAACTTTTAGTACGTACACAGCAAAAGCAAGTGTAGGTTTCCGTCTTCCGTAAACCTTCCGAATACCTTCCAGATACCTTCAGCAACCTTCAATTATCTTGGTAATTTCCAGATAATTTTTTCATGTGTTTCACACATAATTGAACAAAATGCACCCCTCAAATTTTGACATTTTTTTTGAAAGGTTTCCGGAAGGTATCCGGGCCGGATCCAAAATGGGAAGGTATCCGAAGGTTTCCGGAAGGTTTCCGGAAGACGAAAACCTACACTTTTTTGCTGTGGTAATTCAGGCATGAACCGAATAGGTGTAAAGTGTTATTACTTATTCATGGCAAAACAAAACAGCTATGTGCAATAAGTCACTTTCATCGATTAATGCTTATCATATACTAAAAAAATGTCGCCAATCAGGTTCTCTATTTGAACGTTTCGGCTTTGATAACGGTAATAAGATAAGATACATAATACTCTGCTTCAAAAGACATGATCAATACCAATCGTAATTTACATAATATTGCGTTGGTGTTTCACCCTGAAATATAGGTTCCCGAAGATTTTTGGCGTGGGAAATGTCTCAGCAATGAAACGTAATAATTTTAGGTTCACGTCTTCGAGACATTTATTTTGTGAAAGGTTCAGCCAAATAAGTATATCCTTTTCACCAGACATTTTTTACAGTACCAGTGGAATTATGAACAAGTGGACCGAGATGATTTTTTACACTATTAAAAAAAAACAATTATTTCGAAAAAAAACCATTTGATTTTTCAATTCAGTACACCAGTATCTGTATACACAAAGGTTAAAGACGATTTTTCAAGAATAAAAGCAAATGTCATCTGATGTTGGACTTCCTCATAAATAAAATATATGTGAAATTTAGGGATGACATTTAGTCAAGACATGTAGGCATCCCCTTTGGCACCAATTGTGCTTCCCTTCTTGCTAGTCTGTTTATTCCCCTTTCGACAATCATACGAAATCTCTATTGTACGCTTCCTATAGCATGATCATGTGCTCAGGAATCACTATACGTTGATACCAGGTTTTCGCGAAAAGGTGAGCGTATCCTGCGCCACCGGTGGTCCCCGTCACAAACACATGCAAATACAAGGCAATTGCTTATAGGGAAAAAAGGGAATTATATCATTTGGGTCACTGATGCGTCAAATTTAGAAATGGCTTCCACGTGTCTGTCATTAAACGCTTTGGAAGCTTAAAATACAGCAAATAAACAACTAATACCCTTTTCGAACATCTTTTGGCTTCTGTGTGCAGTGTAGATTAGGGGTAGCCTAGTGGTTAAAGTTTGCTCGTCACGCCGAAGACCCGGGTGTGATTACCCGCCCCACAAACAATGTGTGAAGCCCTTTTCTGGTGTCCCCGCTGTGATATCTGGGATATTGCTAAAACTATACTCACTCACTCACTCTGTGTGCAGGTGCATCACGTGCTATTCATGCATGATGTGACAGTTTATTGTTTTTCGATGTTGCGTTCAGATGCAACGTCACGGTATTGTATTTTAATGTACATCGAAACGATAGCTGTATTCAAGTCATTAGATCCCTAATTTCTTGTCGGTAGTATATATACGGGGACTAATGAGTTGAATGTAGCTTTCGTTTAGGTGTGCATCAAAATACAATACCGTTGCGTTGCATCTGAACGCACCATCTAATCATATGATGGCCATGTCATTGAGAAAAGAACTGATTGAGTGCAACACCTTCGCCCATTTGTAATAATATTGTTTGCTCTCACTGGCTATATCAATCATTGCATTGTACACTTAAATATTGGACAATAGATTGAAACCTTCAACAAATCTACCTTGAGAAATTGAACGTAGAGTGCATCCCTGTTTTCACTTCACATGATTAAATGTCATTTGTTCAGACACTGAAGAAGCATGTGTGGGGCAAGTACCTATCGGTCGTTCCTTATATTCGGCCATCACCATTTTTATTTTCTCTGTATATGTACCACAAGATCCTTTCATCTGATTAACTTTTAAAAAACATTGCCTCCATGTGGTGTTCATGTGGATTTCATGTCTGGATTCGAAGGAGTCATCGATACATGTGTATTTCCTTATGACATTGTGAACTATCGTCTTTTCAGTTGCATGTGTTCCCAATTGCACAGGTATGACTATAATTGTAACCTCGGTTCTGTTTTCTTTGCATAGACCCCACCTGGCTTTTGTAATTCGCGGATTGTCCGTAGTCTGAAAATAGACTTTTTCGATTGAAGGGTTTTTGCTTGCAAATACAATGACAAGTAGCATCGTTTTTAGAAGTACTTTTACGAACTGTTTGATTGGCATTTTAGACGTTGGCAAGATAAATAAGAAAATCGTACA